AATAGGCCTGCTGGCTGTCAAGGTTGTGAAGGGCAGGGCAGGCTTCTCTGTTACATTTCATACATGCGTATGAATGCTCATGTAGAACACACTTAAAATCATTAAAATCACTGAACCCACATAATAATTCTCACATAATAAAAATCTTATCTCATTTGCACATTTGTAATGTGGCCAGTTGTGGTATTTGACATACTAAGATGTAACTTAAAGTGTGTTATTATTACACATAATTTAATAGAGTTGCTGCTTCGTTTTGTTCTCATTCATCTGGGGGGTCAAGTGAACACAGACGAGATGCAGTCCTGAGCTTGAACTGGCTTGTACGCGAGGAACATGTGAACCTCGCTCCTCCAGTGGGCCTGAAAAGCAACACGTTTTTTTAGAAGGAGGAGCTATGATGATCTGTACCATTTAAATTGAAACGCATGCGCATTAGCGTACAATTGGGACTTAGATATCGCTTACACAACCGTGTCTTTTCTTCATTCTGCCTGCATCTCCTCGCCGGTGTGTGGGAACCTACACGTTTTTTTTTAATTTAACAGCCAAACAGCGTTTTAGAAATGAGTGGGGACCATTCCCACAACGAGGACCAGGTAATGTTAAAAGTATTTTATAAATGTCATCACCGGTGGTTACCGGGTACCGTCTCCGGCTACTCTATTTGGTTTGACGGGTACTCGGCTAGCAGTGACTGCTAGCGCACGTTAAGTGGCTATGTTTGTAAGCTAACTCATTTTATTGTATACTGCGTCTTGACAGTCTCGTGACGTTTCTACTTTGAATATGTCAAATGTATTATTTACAGTTTACATCCGGAGTTATATATTTATGTATAACGTTAGCTGTAACCAGTGTTAGCCGCAGCGGCTTCGGCCGCTAAGCCATTACCATTCAGCATAGGAAGCTAACCGTGCTAGCTAGTAGCGAAAAAACTCGCTCTGCCATCCAGTAAGTTCAAAGTTAGTTAGCTAGCTAGTTAGCTTATCTACTGCGAATTTTAACATTCATCCTTCCTTTTTTCAGATTGACTGTGGCTCCCGGGTCAATGGTAAGTTTATCACATTAAACTAACAAAGGTAAAGGAGGATTCTTCTCAAAGTCTGTCCTGTCTTAACTGATCACATCTAACATTACGTTAGTTCTCTGTAGAGGACAGAAATGGCGTCCAGAGACTAAGTCCTCTGTCTCACTCACAAGCGTCTATTGTTCAAAAGGGAGGTCTTGTAAAAGCTTTTCCGTACATTATTTTAACGATTTGAATCAATATTACCACGCAGCTGGAGGTGTTTTATTAGTTTATCGTTTTAGTATCTTTTGTTGGCGAGCTTTTAACAGCATATTTCTCCCCTGAAAGTGAGGGTTTGGGGGTTGAGGACTTAGTCTCTGCGCCATTTTCTTTTTCGGTGTAGCGGCCTGACTGTTGCAAGCTGAACCCAGGCTGTGAAGTGCAGATGGCTGTGTGGAGGAAAATGGAAAGTCATAGTGCTTCATTAAGATAACCAAGTGGAGGCCAGAGACTGTAGTTATTTTTTATTTATTTTTAAATGCGCGATATTAAAAGCGTTTATTTATTTTTTTTTGTCGCTACTGGGACTTTACTTTCCCACATTATGGTAAAGAGTGGATCATTTTTAGGTCGACTCACGTTTCAAAATCAAGTTGGAAGCTCTTCATTACCCATCACAGTGCAACTTTGAGTATTGAATATTACATGGACTTAACAACGTCTCAAAGTTTAAAGTGAGCTTAGGACTTTTTTGTTTTTTAAATGCTACAATCACGTGTGTGAAATCAGAATATTAACCATAATGTACTGATAACTGGAAAAAAACACTTTTTAAAAAATGTTGTAAGGTAATTAGTTTTTGTTCAATTGTGGCTGGTAAAAGGATTCCCACAATTTTGTTGTACATGTACAATGACAATAAAATGCTATATTTCTATTACATTCTATGCACTGTTTTAAGTTCATAAGATATAAAATTATTAAGGTTGATTTCTTTACAAGTGGCATTTACACTGCTGTGACTAGGGATGGGGGGATATAGCCCAAACATATCGCGATATGTCACTGTGTTTTGACAGTATGACAAAGTACAGAAAAATTTGTTATTCATTTGGCAACATAAACATAACAAATTGCCTTGAAATATTGTATAAGCTTAAAATACTAAACGGGTAACTTTTAGTGCAATAACTTTAATTATTAACTTTCAGTTTTAAAGACTAAAAGTAAATTCTCCCTCTGTTCTTTGAGTGGAAAAGGTCTGTTTAAAACAAACGGTATAACAAAATCTACAGTGCAGTTTACAA